ATTCGTCCAAAAATCAGCCGAATCGACGTCGATTTGGCCGAGATAGAGAGTTCTGAAGTTTGGTGGGAACCCCCAAACCAGTGGTTGATTTCCACACAGACGGCGGCGCTTCGAGATGTTTCAGGGCCTGGAGCATCACGGCGGCGGAACTACACAGTACCGTGGCGCGCAGCGGATCCTGGACTCGAGCGCACGCGGGCCATCGCTGCTGCCCTTGCTCAGCTCGGTATTCTTGGACCTTGGCTCGCATGCGCGCGAGCGACTTGACGGCGGTGCGCGGGTCGCAGTTGCCCATCAACGAGCTTCCTTCGACCGCGGCGACGATCGCCTCGAGCGCGCTCCGGAACCCGTCGAAAGCGCCGCCCGCGAGCGCGTGGAGGATTTCGGGTAGGGCGGCCGCATCCACGCGGTCGCGCAGGGCCTCGCCGCCGAGCGTTTTCACGTACGCGTTCAGCGCGTCGGCGACGAGCGCCGGCTGCTCGGCGGCCGTCCCCACCGAGCCGCGCTCGATCAACGCGCGGCCGGAGTCGTTCTCCAAGGCCTCGCGCGCGAGGGTGGCCATGGCGTCGTCGGCCTGCGATGCTAAAGCTTTCGCTCTGATGGCGAGTACCGTGTACCTCGAGCACCGCGGCGGCGGCGACGACCGCTCGGTCTTGACAAACGCGTAGGGCTCGCCGTCGTGTTGCCCCGACACGCGGGCCGAGGACCGCCGGCGCGTGCTGCGCACCGTCGACGCCCGCTTGAGCGCGCGAGAAAACGACGAGGCGCGAGAGAAGTTCGTCGGGTTGCCCACCGCCGAGGCGCGCGGAGCCCCCTTCGGAGTCTGCGCCGCGCCGTGAAGCTTTTCGCGGACGGCATCGACGGTCTCGGCGCCGCCCAGCGCGCGTACGACTACCATATCAAACGCGAGGAGCGCGTCGGAGGCCATGAGCGGTTTTTCGCCCGCGACTTGCGCATACGCGCTTGCGACGTGCGGCGCCAGCCACGAGCTCAGCCACGGCGCCGCGGCGCCGACGGCCGCGGCGAACGTGTCCAAAGGAGCGTCGTCGTCGCCGCGCGCGCGCATCGCGCGCGTGGCCTGCGCGCGCACCTCGCCGAGCCAAAGCATGAGGTCTTCGCGATCCGGAGCGTCCCAGACGTCGCGAAGCACGTCACACGTCTGATCGTGGGAGCCGAGCAGCTCGCGGTCCACGAATTCCCACCGCTCGTCCTCCTCCGCGCCTTCCTCGATCGGCGCCAGCGCCGCCTCCAAGATCGCTTCGCCGATCACCGCCTTTTCGGCGCCCTCGTAGAGCCGCCGTAATGCGAGCCGGTCCAAGCGGTTTTCCCGGAGCCCATCGACGAGGTCCCGGACGTCGGCGCGCCAGACGTTATACGCGACGCCGGCAAAGAGGTACACCGTCAAGAGGAAACAGAACACGCCGAAGACGACGTCCTGCTTCTGCGAGAAGACCTCGCCCTTGCTCACCTACCAAGTGCGACGGGGTCGGATTTCTTCACATCTTCAGGCGACATTCACGCGAAAAAACACTCCCGTCGCTCGACGCTGTTGCTCACGATGGCCAGGCAGAAGAAAAGAAGAAGAAACCGCTGCAGCATGTCGCACGCGCGGCGCGCGCCCTCGGTCGAGTACGGTCGCGCCCACGAACAAGCGCCCGCGAACAAGACCACGACGACGAGCGATAGGCCCAGACGCATCACGTCCTGCTCCCTCTTGAAAAACAGCCACAGCGCCCCGCTCAAGAGCATTCGGTACCACATCGCCACGCACTCCAGGGCCCACGCGCCCGGCCGGAGGTGCGACGTCATGAACGCCAAATACGTGTCGGGGCGGCCGCTCTTGCGGTTCACCCAGAGCTTCAATGCAAGCACGGCGGGGAAGGTCGCATAGGCGATGAACGCGAGCCCGGCGTAGAGACGGTAGGCGCGGTACGTGCTCGTGTAACACGCGAGGCCGTAGTCCGACCGGACGAAGCTCCGGCTTCCTCGATGCGTCAAGAACTTGCTTTCGTTGCCGTGGGGCCGCGCGCACACGGACACTTTATAGATCACGCCGCAGATGAACGAATGCAAGTAGATGCACGCGATGACCCACGCCACGACGACGCGCCGCAGGGGCGAGCGCCCGTCGCCGCGGCGGACGCGCGGCGCGTCCGGCAGCATCAGCGCCCGTTCGTCGCCGATCGAAGCCCCGCGCATCCGGCGCGCGGTCCCGCGCATCTGGCCCGCCGCGACCGCGGCGAGCACCGCGACCGCCAGGGCCGCGGGCGGCAGCAGCGTCCAGAACAGGAGCTCGTCGTAGTACGTGATTTCGAAGCACGCGAGCGGCCCGAGGTACTTGTCGACGTCGATGGCGAAGGCCGTGAGCACGTCGATGAGGTTCGAGTAGGGCTTCGGGAGCGTCAGGCGCTCGATCGAGCGGACCTGGCTCATGACGGTGATCGTGTAGATCGCCTGGCGCGCCACGGTCCACAGCGTCGGCAGCGCGCGGTCGAAGCCGTGCAGCCGGCTCTTCGCCCGGAGCTGGTCGGTCAGCGTGCGTATCTCGCGCGCCAGCGCCCGCCGCGCCGAGATTACCGCGACGAGCGCCGCGCCCGCGAAGACGACGAGATAGCCGTAGACGTCCGCGACGCCCGTCCACTCGTCGCACCGCTTGCACCGCGCGCGGCCCCGGCGCGAGACGACGCGGTGGTGCTTCGGTTCGCAGAGCATGCAGAGCGGGCCCGTCGCCTTGGAGGCGCACAGCGCGTCGCCGGCGCCCGCGCCGCCTGCTTTCTGGCCGCGGCACGCGTCGTCGTGCGCGGGGCAGCGGTAGAGTTCCGGAGCATCGTCTCGCCACCGGTAGTAGTGCGCGCGGACGTCGCAGACGGCGGACCCCGCCGCGGACGAGGAGCCCGAGGGACAGGGCTGGCAGGTGCTGCCCCGGATGCCGTAGCCGGCCGGGCACATGGTGCACGACGCGACCGACGCGGCGCCCGCGCCGTCGACGAGCGCGGGGTCGTGGATCGTCGACCCGACGGGGCACCGCCTGTGTGGAATTCAAATCTTCAACCCGACTTCAATGTGAGCGTAATCGAACGATTTGGACCAGACTCTTCGCTGCGCTTCGAGAACTCGACGAGAGCAATCGATCCGTCCAAAAATCAGCCGAATCGACTTCGATTTAACCGAGATAGAGAGTTCTGAAGTTTGGTTGGGATAACCCAGCTCACTGTTTGATTTCCACACAGGGCACCGCGTGCACTCGTTGTCGCAGAGGAAGCACGCGCCCGACGCGTTCGCGAAGCTGTTGAGCGGGCACGGGAGGGCCGCGGGCGCCGGGTAGACGTATTGCGTCTCCGCGGCCTCGATCGGCCCGACGCAGCGGAGCGCGAAGCCGCCGTCGGCCGCGGGCAGCGGCTGGACGGCGCCCGGGTTACGCCCCGCGTTCCGCTGCATCTCGTCGAAGCCCACGGGGCCGAAGACCGTCTCGAGGGCCTCGAGGCGCGCCAGGTTCGCGCGCAGCTGCGCGTAGCCGTCGGCGTCGGCGAGCTCGGCCGCGAGGCCCGCGGCGTCGACGGCCTCGTTGTCGTACCGGGCCCGCAGCGCCCTGTAAAGCACGTAGACGCACGAATACGAGCTCACATAATCGTAGTCAAAGCGGTAGCCGAACGCCGCCTCGCCCGCGTCGACGAGGGCCTCTATCGTTCCGAAGAATTCGTCCGAGTACGGCATGGCGACGTCGACCTGGGAGCCCCCGGCCGCGTAGTTGCGCGCGTCGGATTCGCCGCGCGTCGCCGCCCCCCAGCCCGCGCACGTGAGCCAGACGGCGTCCGGGACGCACTCGAGCGCCTGCCACTTCGCCACCAGCACCTTCGCTTCGTCCGTCTGGACGCAGGCCATGAAGACGTCCGCGCCCGAGTCGCAGACGCCCGTCGCCACGCCGTCGAGGAAGTCGACGTCGACGCGGTTGGCGACGCCGTCACCATCATCGTCGGCCTTCGGGTCGAAGGACACGTCGTAGACGAGCTCCAGGTCCGCTTCGTCTTGCCTCGTGGAGGCGACGGTAACGTTGCCGACGGCGTACTCCTTGCCGAAGGCGCACGTCGTCACGAAGAAATTGCTGTGCGTCGACGTGACGACGGCGATCTTCCGGGCGCCGCTCCGGCGCATCTGCTGCAGGACCGGGACCGAGTAGCTGTAGCTGCTGAGGTGCATGCCGAACAGGTTCGCGAGTCCCTCTTCGTAGGTGGAGTCGGCGCCGATCTGGGCCATGAGAATCACGCCGGCCGCCTCGGCGGCCCACTTCTCGGCGTCGGCGAACGGTCCCTTGTTGCAGGAGCCGATGAGGTACCGCGGCGCGCCGTACGCGTCCGCGAAGCCGTCGGAAGCGAGCATCGCGCGCGTCACGTTGTCGTGGAACGCGTCGTAGTCCGCGCGCCCCTCCGCGGCTGTCAAGATCGTTACGAGCCGCAGGCGCACGAACGTGTCGCCCGCGACGCCCACCGCAAGCCCTTGTCGTCGTTGAGCGCGTTGAGCGTGTCGACCGCGACCTTGGCGCCGGCGAGATGCGGCATGCATTGCGAGGGTCCGGCCTGGACGACGGTCAGCTCGACGACGTCCGCGGGCGGCGCCGCGGCGGCCGTGTCGTAGAGGACGCACGGCGCGGCCGACTCGATGCGCGTGTAGTTTTTGGCCGCGTCCAGCTGCCGGACTTCGCCGGTCTTGAGGGGGCACGTCGGCGTCGTACCGTCGATGACCACCGCAGCGGCGGCGGCGCGCGCGACCGCGCACGCAAGGGCGACCGCGTGCCACCTAAGCTGCCCCCACCTCATTGGCTAAGCCTTTTCACTACCCATCCAGTGGGCGAGCGGGTCGCCGTCGAACTTACCGGGGACGACAATCGCAGCCTTCGAGAAAGCATTGTACATGCAGAGGATTACATAAAAAAGCGGCACCATCGTGTGCACAAATCCCGTGAAACCTAAGAAGCTGCCCTGTCTCCGCCTGTTCCGTCGTCCGCGCCAGTGGCTCCGTGCGCCATGGAGGACGTGTCCCTGAGCGCGAAGCGCGCGTCCCAGGCCCAGTCGACGCGCATGATGATCGCCGCGCGCCTCAACAGCAGCCTCGAGGCCGGCGAGGCCAGCGCCAAGTTCTGGATCCCCGCCGACGACCCCGTGGACCTCTGGCGCCTCGTGGACATCACGGCCCTCGACGGCGACGGCAACGCTACGCTCGCCGGCGCGCCCGAGGGCGAAGAACCCGAGACGGTGGTCGTGAGCGTGGCGCAGCCCTGGGACGAGTCCCACGACAAAGATCTCCGCGACGTCTGCGAGATGGCGGACCTGCACCAGGCGCCGCTGCTGGCCATGCTCCGGCGCCGCTGGAAGGCGGGGCACATCTACACGGCGGCGGGGAACGTGCTCTGCTCCATCAACCCCTACCGCGACCTCGGCGGCGACGTCTACGATATACCGGCGACGCTCGAGGCCATGGTCGACACATTCGGCGGCGCCGAGGGCGAGCCGCACCTCTTCCGCTGGGCCCACGTCGCCTACGACGCGTTGTGGAAGGCGGAGGGCGCCGCGACGAACCAGGCCATCATCTGCAACGGCGAGAGCGGCGCGGGCAAGACCATGGCGTCGACGCTCATCGTCACGTACCTCGCGGCGCTCTCCCGGGGCGTCTTCGACGGGGCCGGCGGCGGCGGCGACCACTGGGACGTCACGGCGCTCCTCGCGACGACGCCCGTGCTCGAGGCCTTCGGGAACGCGAAGACGGCCATGAACGACAACTCGAGCCGCTTCGGCAAGTTCCTCCTGCTGGAGTACGAGGACAAGGTGCTGGTGGGCGCGCAGGTCGAGGACTTTTTGCTCGAGAAGTCGCGCGTGACCAAGTGCGGGCCGGGCGAGCGCAACTACCACACGTTCTACCAGCTCTGCGGCCTCGGCGGCGCCGCCGGCGAGACGTACGGCGTCGCGAGCGCGGACCGGCACCACTACCTGAACCAGCACGAGCTCGTCGTGCCGGGCGTCGACGACGTGGCCGAGGCCGGCGACGCGGCCGAGGCCTTCGCGGCGCTGGGCCAGGGCGAGGCCATCGCCTGGCTCCGCCGCGTCTGCGCGGGCCTCGTGCGCCTCGGCGACGTCGACTTCGAGGACGTCTTCGACGACTCCGCGGAGGAGTCGAAGATTTTGGAGAGCTCCGAGGCCGCGCTCGCCGACGCCGCGAAGGCCCTCCAGGTGGCCGCGGGCGACCTCGACGGCGCGTCGCTCCGCGGCGCGCTCCACCACCGGTCCATCGTCGTCGCGGGCTCGCGGAAGCGCATCCCCTTCACGGCGGCGCAGGCGCGGAACGCGCGCGACGCGCTCGCGAAGGCGCTCTACGAGAAGCTCTTCGACCACGTCGTCAGGCTCTGCAACGGCGCGCTCGCGCCCGAGGCCGCGGCGGTCTCGCGCGGCGGCGGCGACTCCGACAGCGACGAGGAGGGCCCGTCGGCCGCGGAGGTCGAGGCGTCGGCGGCGCGCGCGTTCGTCGGCATCCTGGACATCTACGGCTTCGAGATCATGGCGTCGAACTCGCTGGACCAGCTCCTCATCAACTTCGCGAACGAGACGCTCCAGGTCGCGTTCAACGAGCAGGTGCTCGTCGCCGAGGGCGAGCGCTACCGCGAGGAGGGCATCGCGTGCCCGGCCATCGACCTCGCGGACTCGCAGCAGTGCCTCGACCTCATCAAGGCGCCGCCGGCGGGCGTGCTCGTGCTCCTGGACGAGCAGGTGAAGCTCGGCCAGCGCGGCAGCGACATGAACTTCCTCGCCTGCGTCGACAAGGCGAACAAGGACCACCCCTTCTACGCCAAGTCGCGGACGAACCCGGACAAGTTCGTCGTCCGCCACTACGCGGGCGACGTCGCCTACACGGCGCACGGCTTCCTCACGCGCAACGTCGACCCGCTCTCCGGCGACGCGGCCGAGTGCCTGCGGTCCTCGAAGGACGGCGTCCTCGCGGCCTGGTACCCGGCCGCGGGCGGCGGCGAGGAGGCGCGCCAGGCGCAGCGCCGCGCGCTCTCCGAGAGCACGTCGAAGAAGTTCCGCGAGCAGATGGCCGCGCTCTCCGAGGAGCTCGACGAGTGCGAGAAGCACTACGTGCGCTGCATCCGGCCCAACGGGTCCAAGGACCGAAACGTCTTCGACATGGACATGGTGCTGCGCCAGCTCCGCTTCTTCGGTTTGCTCGACATCGTCAAGATCCGGCGTCTGGGCTACCCGGAGCAGTCGGACCCGGCGACGTTCTGGAAGAGCTACTGGCAGCTCATCCCCGAGTCCGTCGGCGACCACAAGTGGCACGCCTTCGAGCGGCTCCTGCCCGCGACCGTGCTCGCGTCCGGCGGCCTCCACGGCGCCTACGAGGCCGCGCGGCCGCCGACGGCCGCGTGGGCCGACTGGGACGCGAAGCGCGAGCCCCTGCTCAAGCGGATCGAGGCCCTCGAGGCCGCGCGCACCAAGGCCGCGGGCTTCAACGAGGCGGCCAAGGTCGCGGCGCTCGCCGCGGACCTCGAGGCGGTGAAGGCAAAGCTCCGCGACGAGCACGGCGAGTGCCGGCCGCCGGACGTCGCCGAGGCCTGCGTCATGCTCTGCACCATGCTCCTCGACGACGGCGAGTTCGCCGTCGGCACGAAGAGCGGCCAGCTCTTCACGAAGCTGGGGGTGACCCGGCGCCTCGACGAGATGCTCGCGCTCGCGATGGGCCTGGAGGCGGCGACGTCCGAGGCTGTGTGGAAATCAAATCTTCAACCCGACTTCAATGTGAGCGCATTCGAATGTTTTGACACAAGCTCTTCGGCTGGACTTCGAGAACTTGACAAGGGCTATCGATTCGTCCAAAAATCAGCCGAATCGACTTCGATGTGACCGAGCTAGAGAATTCTCAAGTTTGGTCAGGACCACCCAAACCAGTGGTTGGTTTCCACACAGGTCCGAGGAGCGCGCGGCGCAGCTCAGCGCGCTCGCGAGCGACCGCGTCGACGCCGAGGAGAAGGCGTCGTCCGTGCTCCAGTCCATCTCCCGGGGCCGCAAGCAGGTCGCCGAGTTCCGCCGGCGCAAGGCCGCCGCGGCCAAGG